CAGACGTTTGGAGGGACGCAGGAACAACCAGCAGGAAGCGGGCGCCCGTGGTGGACAAGTTTCTCTGGTAAGAAGACCATTTTGGACGCATAATCGGCCTTGGTTTAATGAATTTCTCGCTCAAGGGAAGAGAGCTTTCAAGCTTGGGTCATTACGCTGCTCAGCGGCGAAAGTCACGGCATCGGTAAAGCCAGACAACAGAGAAGCGATAAGGTGGTCAAAGTTATCGGCTTAACAATCTGTCGATGGTAGCAGCATTCTGGAGAGGCAATCCGCATCAGCGTGTAGACGGCCAGTCTTGCATGAAATGGTGAAGACATGTTCTTGCAAACGAATGGCCCATCGTGCGAGGCAGCCGGATGGGTCACGAAGGTTGACCAGTCAACACAGGGAATGGTGATCTGTGATGAAAGTGAACGGGCGACCATAGATGTATGAGCGAAACCGTTGTACGGCAAAGACTACCGTTAGGCATTCCTGTTTGGTCGCTGTGTAGTTGCGTTCAGGCTTGCTTAAAGAACGACTTCCGTACACCACAACGTGCTCCTTCTTGCCAGAACGAGAACGGCACCGATACCGATGCCACTTGCGTCTGTGTGAATTTCCGTGATCGACGAAGGATTGAAGTGCCGAAGTATTGGCTGCGAAGTTAACAAACACTTCAGCTTGTGAAAAGCGGCATCACACTCGGAGGTCCAATGAAACGGGCTGTGCTTGCGTAGAAGGCTCGTCAGGGGGTACGACGACATCCGCAAACTTGGGTACGAACCGGCAGAAATACGAGCAGAGCCCTATGAAGCTACGCAGTTGTTTCACAGATTTAGGACGCTCGAACAATTCAACGGCCGCTGTCTTTTGTGGGTCAGGTCTAATGCCATCTTTGTCGACGAGATGTCCTAACACCAATGTCTGTCGCTCGCTAAAGTGGCACTTTTTTAATTCAATACAAGGCCAGCTTCTTCAATGCAGCTGAGCACGAGGTCTAGGCGAGTGTTGTGCTCCTCAATCGCACGTCCAAAAATTACGACATCATCAAGGTAACACATGCATATATGCCATTTTAAACCTCGCAATATAGAGTCCATAAATCTTTCGAATGCCGCAGGAACATTACATAATCCGAATGGCATAACGTTGAACTCATAAAGTCCGTCGGTCGTAACAAATGCAGTTTTTTCTTTGTCAACTGCGTGCATCGGAATTTGCCAGTAACCTGATCTCATGTCGACAGCTGAAAAGTAGGACGCGGAATGCAGGCCGTCTAGAGCGTCATCGATGCGTGGCAGTGGATAGACGTCTTTCTTAGTAACAGATTTCAGTCGGCGGTAGTCAACGCAGAATCTCCACGTACCATTCTTCTTCTTCACTAGAATAACGGGAGCAGCCCACGAACTTGCCGATTCCTGTATTATTCCCTTTTCCACGATTTCTTGGACTTGCTCGTTGATGATCTTGCGCTCCGATGGTGCCACTCGGTAAGGTTTCTGCCTAATGGGATGCGCTGACTCAGTGTGGATCTGATGACGTATCCGGGACGCTGGGATTAAGGGCCTTTGGCTGTTTTTGGAAAAATCGAACACTTTCGAGTGCTTAGATAGAACGTCAAGCAGTGTATGACGTTCGCTTTGGTCAAGTGACTTTCTGACCATTTTTAGCGATTGGGCATCTTCTGAACCTTCTAAGCCTAGATGTTCATTTTGGCTTGTAGCATCAACAAGCGCAAGCAGCGTCGTACATGATTCGGGTCTAAATACTGCAAGTTTCATGCCACCTGGCAGCATTGCAGGCTCCATGGAACTGTTCATTGTCCACACACCTGCCCGTCCATCAACGACTGACACTATACAATGGGGAATGAGAATGTTCTTTTTCAGGCATGCCGATGGAATCAGTTCGAGCGTGGCTTCAAACGTGCCACAGTTGTTGCTGGGACATGTCACGAGAACACACACAGCAGAAAATGCAGGAACGACTGTGTCCACGGAGACGAAAAATATGCGTTCCTCCGGACAGGAATTTTCCAAGAGCGCCATTGGAAAAGTACCGTGTATAGAAAGATGCCTACTTCTGCAGTATACAGTTGCCCCACACTCACACAAGAAGTCAATACCCAAGATAACGTCATGTGTAGGCCGCGGAATAACCACAAACTCTGTGCAAAACACCTTGCCACACAGCGAGACGTCCACAGCACAATATCCCACCGGACACCACACGTCACCACTTACACCACGAAATGTCACCCCACGGTTCAGGCAAAACATCTCTTTTGGTCCTAGCAGGTTCTTAAAATTTACACTCATCACCGAGACTGTCACACCTGTATCAACAAGTGCCATAGTAGCCACTCCATCGACAACTACATGAACTTTGTTCTTCAACATAAACGCTGACGGGGGTATATCTGTAGATAGCACCTGTGATCTCACGGCCTCACCCCCACTGGCCGCACCGACTAGTTTTCCGGCAGCGGTGTACGTGCGCGTCACCGTGGCGACGGCGATCGTGGAGCACGGGGTGGTGGCTTCAAACTTCGATCAGAGGCCGGCGAGGGGTAGCGTGACCCGGTAGGTGCGCGTGGTTTCCGTTACGTGGAGAGCGGATGGTCGAAAGGTTGGTGAGACATGTGCCAAGACTGTCGCTGATATGGGCGGTGGTCACAAAAACGTGCGATGTGACCCGGGACGCCACAGTTGTAGCATACCGCAATTGGTCGAGGGGCACGTGGCTCCTCAGAGTAACGACTCCTCTCGGAAGGCATGGGATAGTGGTGCCGCCCTTCAGGGGCACTGTAGGCAAGCGATGTTGGGTAAACAGGCGGGCGAAAACTTCGTTCGTAGTCTGGAGGTGGTTGACAGAGAATCCAGCCTACCGTGTGCCTTGATATTCATAAGCGTCTGCTGCGTTGATCGATGGTTGCCATAGTGGAAGAGAAACAGGAGTCTGCACACGTTCTGCTTCGCTTACGTACACATCTTGAAAATCGCTGGGGCGATGATAGGGTCTGACATCGAAGCAGCTCTTTGACGATCTGCCGTATGGTCAAAGCAAGGTCGTTAGGCGGCACTGTTTCAACACTAGCCACAGTGGGGACGTTGGACAGGCGGCCGAATTTCGGAAAAATTCGTCGCATATTGAGGGATTCAAAGGTATGACAATCACATCGGACACAGAGTTCAAGCAGTCTTTCTCAATTAAGAAATTGTACACGTCTTCGGCTATACCCTTGAGAACGTGTCCAACCTTGTCTTCTTCAGACATCCTCCCGTTCACGATCCTGCACAGCTTCAATATTTCTTCAATGTATGTCGTACATGTTTCTCCTGGAAGCTGTGCCCTCTGAGACAATGTCTGCTCCGCACGTTTCTTCTTTGCGTCCGAATCACCGAAGCACTTCTGCACTTCTTCAACAAAATGTTCCCAAGTCGTGAACATGTCCTCGTGGTTCTCTGACCACTTGAGGGCGGTGTCAGTTAACGAGAATACAACATGATTGAGCTGTTCGTTCGAGTCCCAGCCATTGCTTCTGCTCACCCGCTTGTAGTTCTTGAGCCGCACGTTGACGTCTTCTCCCGAGATCCCGCCAAAGTTTGGTGGCACTCTGTAGTACAGCACGGAACCAATCTGAGTTGTCCTCGAAGCGTTGGATGGCTGCTTTGGGCCATTACAATTGGCGAAGGTGGAAGTCCGGCGAGGCGGCGGCTGCGACGAAGTCTTGGTAGTCAAGCTCCCGTTTTTGGGTTCGTCCTACCCAGCACCTTCCACCAAATTGTTACACAAGGTAAGGTAACTTAATGGGGTTTTTTGATGGGCCCTGAGTCCGCGATCACCGTATAATGATGATAATCCCCACCGCCATGGCTCGTACCCACTCAGGGGGACCACAGTGGAGGCAACCTCGTCTTCCTTCTCTAACCGCGCTTCCCTTGTTTTTCCTGGTAGTGATACTTCGTATCAATATATTGCTAGTGTTTGTACTTAATCGCTTAGGCATCATGTGTAAGCCCAAATTTAATGCAGTTAGGCGTTAAAGAACGCACGTCGGAGTGCTTGCCTCGAGCTCGATGTCATGCTCGCTTCCATTTCAATTGCAGCACACTGAAATAACTGAAACAACTTTTACGTTGTACGCACAGTTCGCTTTGATGAGCTTCCTACTTTTCTGAAGCGAGGTGCGATTCACGGAAGAATCATTCTAGGTTCTTGATTTTCAAGGAACTGCGTCTCAAGACCAACAAAACAGGAGGGCCTATGCACGTTCGCTTGCGGACGGCCCTCCTTGCACTACCCATTTATGGCTAGCACGTCGATGGAGGTGCTGGTGACGGCGTTTCTCGCAGTGCCGCCTTGGCATAGTGTGACGTCTATTGGCGGTGCCGCGAGAAAAGCGAGACAAAAATAAACATGTCAAAGCGCGCACGCCCACCTGCTAGCTGCCGGCTCCCGGCTTGTCTTGACACACAGAGAGAGGAAAAGTTATGAGTGAGGAGGCTCCTTAAATGTGAAGGAAAGGAGGAAAAACAGACGCTCATTGGTGGTTTGCTTGTGCGGGAGCCGGAGGCAGCGACAAAAATAGCCCAGCGAGCAATTGGGTCGGCGGCAGAAATTCTACGACGCTCGGTGGGAGAAAGAGAGAAAAACGGCATCTCGCAAGTGGTGGGTGGCGCGCGGCAGCGTGTTCGTATACCCTTAGCTAGAAAGGTACATTAAAAATTTTGTTCTGAAGCGTGGGAGGCTGCGATCTCCCAGCCGGACCTGGTCGAGCAGCGTCAACTCGTCGCTCGAGCTCGGCGGGCTGTCCAATCCAGAGGGTTCCTGGAATAAGGCACCCTCCCACCTTCACTCACAAGCTTCTTTCAATAAATGTTTTTTCTCTCTCTCTCTGCCCGAGAAAAAAATTCCAGTCGAAAAAGGATATACGTCGCATCATACTGCTTCAGCTGTAAACAACAAAATTACAAAAAATGTGACGTAACAACCAGGACGATACGCTCTTGCAGGTCGAGAACGGCATTAAGCACCACCTGAAACTCAAAATCCAGCCAACACGTATAGGCACACCGGCCTGCAGCCAACGCAACGCCCACACGGTTGTCAGCGTTCACCCACAGGTAAGTACCTACATCTGGAACTCCAATGAAAATCAGCGCAGGCTGGCTCACTCAAAAAACCGATTCAAAATCAAATTTAATAAATTGGTATCACGCGATGCTCAGTTCTCACGTTCCTTGGGCAACGGTAGCTTGTTTTTTAGCAAGGCGCTTATCCTTACCATATTTTAGATGCGAAGCAGTTCATGGTCGAGTTCAATGCGGCGTGCCGGTGGTGTGGCCACTTTTACTGCACTTTATCGTCTCCTCCCCTCTCTATACAACGCCGACGCAGGCAGTGTCTGCCAGTGAGTTTCTTGATTACAAAAAAAATGACTGCTCGCGCTAAACAATCGACCTCCAAGGAAGTGTCGAAGGGGAGATTTCTCCTATGCGTTGTCGAGCAATAAGAAATCGCAGTGCGCGCACAAACTAAAAATATACTGAACTGCTGGACCCTGTGTCCAAACGGAGTCTCAGTAACGTTAAAAGTTGGGCGAGTTCGTGATAGTTCATGTTTACTTATGAATCAGCGCACGGAGGCAAGCACAGAAGAAACAAAAGCAACACTGCTGCACTCGCAACTAGTCTATTTCGCAGCAAAAACACGGTTAATATACAACATGATAGTGTACCTTTAATGCCAAAGTAGGCCAGAAACAGGCCGGAGATCGCGCAGTTGGGGAATATGGCATCTGTTCTAGAAATGCCTGGGGAAAATTCTTAGCGGAGTTCACAGAACGTAATGAAATAACTAACAGATATTCAATACCTTCTTTAGAAAACGGGCTTACCGTAAGTGGACGTGGCGAAGTCCTAATGGTGAAAGTAAAAATGAAGTAGACTACATTCTGTGTGCACACCCAGACATTGTACAGGATGTAGAAGTAGCTGGCAAGATCCAGTGCAATGATCATAGATTGGTAGGAGCTCGCATTCACTTACATTTAAATAAGTAAAGACAGAAACTGATACGTAAAAAAACAACTAATGAACGAGCGGTGGGAAGGAAAATACGGAAATGCAGAGTTTTTCTTCAGGAATTTTCTCCCCATTCTTCAACTCTACAAATCCATCAGTGACGGCATTATTATCAGATTTCGGTGCCGCTTGCACACAGGATACCTGGTGAGTTTGACTCACTCCGTTCCGACATGCATCTGCTTTGTGCCCAGTCTGACCACACTTAAAACATTTCACTACCGTAGGGCTCGTAAAGATCGTTCGACAGTTTTTCGCGCGATGACCCACTCGGTTACACAGAAAACATCGCTGCATGCTCTCTGGTGCACGCTTCTTTTCTTCAGGAGCCAATTTCTTCGAATCATCGGGACAATCCTTCTTGACCTTGGCCAAATTAGTTCCTCCTTGCGCTTCTAAGAATTGATCAGCCAATTCAAGCATTCCTTCAAATGACTCCACCTTCCTCTCTTTCAAATACAGCGACAGGCTTGGGTGGCAACTAGTAAGAAATTGTTCTTTAATTAGCAGCTCTCTAAGATCATCGTACTCCTGTGCTGTCCCTGAAAGTTCAATCCATCTGTCGAAATAATGGCAAAGTCGGGCGGCATACTGCGTAGCTGTCTCACCATCAGCTGGCTTTCCTGTCCGAAATCTGTCCCGGAATCCTTCCACAGTGAATCTAAATCGCTTCAACAAAGCAGCTTTCACTTTTGCATAGTTGGCTGCATCGGTCGGCGTCAGCCTACCGTACACACTGAGCGCTTCACCACTCAAGCAGGTACTTAAAGCAGTTGCCCATTGATGTTCCGGCCAATTCTGGCTCTTCGCAATCGTCTCGAATCGGTGAAGGTACGCGTCTAGGTCGTCCTTCCTTTCATCAAACGCTACGAGCAGCTTGCTTGGGTTCAAGCGGAAGCCGTGATCTTCCCGTTCGCTGCTTTCAACTCTAGCTTGGACGGGAGTTTCACTTCGCTGTTGCAAACGGAGCCGCTCGAGTTCCATCTCGTGCTGCCGCTGCCGCTCCCTTTCAGCCATCTGCGCTTCTCTTTCTTCTCTCGCCCTCTCAGCGGCCAGGTTTTCTCTCTCCAGCTCCAACTTCAACTGCTGTTCTCTTTCTTCTTTCAGCTGTCGCTCCTTTGCCTCTCTTTCTTCTTTCGCCCTTTCAGCTGCCAACCTATCTCTCTCCACCGCCTGTTTCTCCTTCTGGCTTACCCACTTCCGTAGTTCGGCGCCAGAAAGACCCATCTTCTCACCAAGAGATACTAACTTTTCGAGATCCATGGTGTCTCGCAACTCGCAAATAAAACCTTGCCGCGTGCAAAAAGTATCTGCCTAAATCAGTCTATCGGAACACTCCCCTGCACTCGTTAACGAGAACACTGAACAACACTCAAAATCGTTCCGATAGCACTATCAACAACTCGAGGCTCTTTCCTACTACTTTGGACACACTGTGCACCAAAAGGTCCTGTATCGCGGACGCCAGATTAATTGTCACACATGTCCCGTTTATTAGGGAGGCGATCGCCGGGCTAATTCCAAGAGCCGAAGTATCGGCCCCCCGAACCGCACCACGAAAGCGTGGACAATTTAGAAGTGGTCCTTATTGGTGCGCCAGCGGACGCCGGCTGTGGCCCAAAGAACAAGACAGAGCCGAGAGTTGATGAACAAACAAATTATATTCTCAATAATGGCAGATCGAAAATAATACACAAAAATGCACACTCCACGATAGTTACATACAATACGTCACCAATCAGACAACGTACTACACAGTACAATCAGCCACACTCAAAACAACTGACTCAGACAACAATACGCACTACAATGCAGTCGCATGCATTGAACAACCAAGACACTTAAGGACTAAAGAGATAGAAAACCTATTCAGTCCAAAGTCCTTGGAACAAAAGTCTGAATGATACTCTTCCGAGAATCACTCACTCAAAGTCCAGCGTTGTTGTCGTTCCGTAGTTCTCGAAGTTTCTCTTCCAGGAAACCTCGCGTCCTCAAATGGCCACTCTCCAAGCTTCAAACTTCTTCGCCGGAAATTCGTCGGCTTCACACACGCAGCTGTTGCCCGCGTCTTCGCTCGATAGCGGTAAACACACGCTCTTGCCTGTAGCTCGAGCCTTCACCCACAGGTGGAATTCCTCTCTATCTCCTGCTTCGTCACTACGAACGAAACCTTCGCCGACTACACGGCGGAATCCCTACGCGCTCTGGCGTTAACTTCCGTCACCTCCTGATTTCTCGTCTCGGCTGCTCGGTTAAATACCTTGCGCGCGACTTTCCAGATGTTTCTCGTCATTTCGTCGGCGCGATACGCAGCGAAAGCTGGGGAGAGGTGCGAGACGGTTCGACTGCCCTCTCCGGCGGATGATTCACTCGGTCTGACCCCGCCTCTTTCGTTCTAGAATAATCGCGGTCTTGCTGGGCCGCCGATGTGGGGTGAGGAGGATCGTCTGCGAAGCCGTGCTTCTGCGGGGAGAGCGCGCGCCCGGGAGCCCTGGATGTTTGCTTTCTTTTTTTTTTCCTTTTTACCTCGCGGCGTTTCTGCCGCCCGTTGTCGCAAGGATTTGGCGGCGCGCTCTTGTTTAGCGCTCGTTCTGTGACAATAGATGTAATAGCTAAAAGAATTAAGGTGACATTACAGTTCAATCAACTAAAGGACCCAGCAGGATTTCGTACAGGCCGTCACAATATGGTACAGAATGGCACAATGTACCATATTATCAATAAGGTAATAGAGAAATGCGCCGAATACAACCAACCACAATACATAGCCTTAATAGATTACAAGAAGGCGTTTGACTCAGTCGAGACATCAGCAGTAACACAGGCACTACAGAATTAGGGAATCGAAGAACCCTACATAAACATACTAGAAGACATCTACAGTGAATCCACCACCACAATAGTGCTCCATAAAGAAAGTGACAGGATCTCAATAAAGAAGGGTGTAAGGCAGAGAGACAATCTCTTCTATGCTATTTGCCGCGTGTTTACCGGAGGTTTTTAGGACCCTAGATTGAGAAGAGCTAATAATAATAGTTCATGAACAGTATCTTTGTAACCTGCCATTTGCTGATGACATTGCCTTGATGAGTATCTCAGGCAACGAATTACAACTTCTTATTACTGAAGTTGACACGGAAAGCAGAAGACTAGGCATGAAGATTATTATGCACAAAGCCAAAGTAATGGGCAACAGTATCCGAAAAAACTGTGATTCGCGATAGGTGGAGGGACGCTGGAAGTTGTAAAGGAATAAGTCGACTTTGGACAGGTAGTAACCGCGCAGCCGAACCATGAGACTGCAATAACTAGAAGGATAAGGATGGTGTAGATCACACTTGGCAAGCATTCTCAAATCAAGAAGAATAATCTGCCACCAACCCTGAAGAGGAAGGTACATAACAGCTGCATCTTGCCGGTACTTACCTACGGAGACGAAACCTGCAGGCTTACAAAGAGGGTTCAGCTTAAATTGAGGACGACAGAAAGAGCGATGGAAAGAAAAAAAATGATAGGTGTAACCTTAAAAACAAGAAGATAACAAGGTTGGTCCGGGAACAAATAGGGTTAAGGATATACTTGAAATCAAGAAGAAGAAATGGAGACGAGCAACACATAGGCATGATAATCGCTGGTCATTAAGGGTAACTGACAGGATCATCCACAGAAAGCAAACTCACGAAAGGGAGACAGAAAGCTAGGTGCACTCATGAGATTTAAAAATGCCCCCTTCTCCTCTCCGAAGGGAATCATGAGAAAATGCGAAGGCATTTCTTGCGGCCAAAGCGCACGGCGTAGCAATTTTAGTTTACCTTCACCAACTTCTGCCATCACCTTAAAAGACACCCAGCCAGCGAACAGTCGAGATTGAGGCGCGCGCTTCACTTCATCGAACGGGAGAGTGGGGCGCAGGGAGTAGAGAGAGTGAACGGCGAGAGAAGGAGCGGTGCAGCACCGCACCAGTCATTGTAGCTGATGGCGATATTGTCAGCGTCTTGTCAACACAAATGCTACACAAGCGCTGGTAGCACAAACGCGTT